TAGCCAACAATTTGGTTTTTTTCCTTCAGCAAACTTTAACCAATTACTCAATACTCATGGATGCTGGTAAGGAGGAAATGGGAAAGCTGGATATCTATTCTTTCTATTTTTTTCCCTTACATTTTGGTGGAATTGATATGAAAAATGCTTTAAGGCAAGCAGTAAGAGAGGCAAATAGGAATTGGCATATGGGTAATCTACAGAACCGTCTGACTTTTAGTAACTGTTGGTGAATAGACTTGTTTGGTCAGGTACCAAGGCCTTAAAATATGCTTAAATTATGGAGTAATATTTGTGACACTAAAAGTAGATGAGACATTATGTAGAAAATAGCAGAATCTACAGTGCATTCCATGTTTATCATGAATATGTTAACCTCAACTGTCAATTAGAGTGTCTAATTTCCCTTGCCTCTTAGATTTTCATTTCCTCATCAGTTGCTATTGATCTGATAGCTCATAGGGAATTCATGGCTGTTCTTGTTGATTGTAATCAGTAAAGCTTTTTGAAGTTAGAAATTACTTGTTTGAGAACATCAGGTTACAAGTTTCAACTCAGATTCTAGTTACTGAGTAGCTGTAAAACCATGCAAAAGAAATATGCAAAAATACTAGGAGAACTTTTTCTTTCTTTAAATATCTCTTTCACTATTGCCAAAGTGCACAGGGCAGGATAATCTCGTAAACTTCAGATTATTGCTACAATATCAATTTGTACTTGATTTACTAAAACTCTTTATTATAAAATGTAACATTACTTTTAATTGCATTTTTCAACAATCATATATTTTTTTCATTCCCAGGAATACAAACAAGTGATCCTAATGCTGTGGTCATAGGATTGGCACCAGAACATTTTCATTATCAAACTCTGAATCAAGCATTCCGGTGAGTCTCCAGCTATTTAGCTATTTATTTTTCATCTCATCAAGTACTTCCTTCTTTCCCTTCTTGAGTCTTTGTCATGTAAGGTTATACATGTTTTATTTTCTAGCCACCTAGATTATACAGGAGGACGCACATCTTCAAAATCACTTCAAGATCAACATCAAATATTATTTATTACTATCCTGCTTAGTTTAAAAAAATTATCAATATGTTAAAGTATGATGATCTTGGTTTGTTTTTTATAGACTCAGTATTCTGGAGCAGAAATCCGTAATAAAATTGCATCTGTTAAAGCTAGCAGTTTTATCTTTTATCATCACTCCTATGATTCTCCACTGACTATGCTAATTTCTGACAGAAAACAGCATCAAGGCTAACGCCCCCAAAACAGTAAACGGGACTCTTCCTCCAGTGCGAATCCATGCTATGGGAAAAAAATCTACACAGTTGACCATACTTTCAAAGAAATTATTCTATGAGTGATAATGGTAGTCTGACCTGGAATAGTAGGGATTCAGGTCGTATCAACATGACGTGATGAGTGATTGAGGTTAGGAAGTGAAGGACAGTGAGGCAGGGAGGACATCATATTCTCACCTGGGCACCTGTGATGGAGAACTCCCTATGTGGGGTCTGGGAGGCGATCAGTTTAGGTTGGGGCTGTTTGGCATGTGGGACATCTTAATGGAGATGTTGCAATGGCTGTTGGTTGAAATTGGGGGAAACACAACTAACACGTATAATGTTATAAATCTTCAGTTATGTGTGCATTTCACTTTTATGAACTTTCGCTGCTGCTTACAAAGTATAGTATTTTTGATGCTGGTTATGAAAACAGTTTGTAACTCGTCTTCCTATAAACCATATTTTTTTACCATATTTTCTTAGTATACTCGTCGACGACTGAAAAAGAACATTTTGTGAAAACGAGTATACACGTTTCTGCCGGGGAAGAGGTTAAGGTAAACTGGATCAGAATTTACCTACAAATCTGCTCTAGAGTGAGATTGTGACTTTTTCCCTTGGATGTTTCTCATCTTTCATCTTATGTTGTCTTTTACTGCTTGTCAAACCATTAAACAATATAATTTGTCTTTGAATTTATGACAAGTAGCTCAAAATATTACATAGGGATACATTGTAATAGCTTAAAAAAATTTTTTTAGTGGGTTGATAAATTTTTGTTATTTAACTTCAAGACTGCTATAAAAACATCATTTTCTTACGGTAAAAAGATCTACAAGAATCAGTCAAACTTATATTTGATGTAGAATTCATTTCTTGATGTATATGTCCTAGAATCACTACAAGACTCACACATCTGGGCACCTTATTTACTGTTAATCTTGAAAATGGCTGTCCTCGTGTACAATCTGTGTGGCCAGAAATAGCACCTTTTTCCCTGTGTGCATTTTAGAGCCTCAGTTAAGAAACTACAG